TGCTTTTGCAGAGTTATTCCATTCATTTTTGTTTTTAGTACAACAATCTGGCGGGAATCATTTTTTGTGGTTAACCGAAATCTTCTCGAACTCTAGCCCTCGATTTGTAAACGGTTGATAACTTCGAGAGAAAGTTTGAGGCCTAGCCAGACTTTGCACAAAAGCGTCCAAACTTCTCTAACCTCTCTTCACTCTTTACACGAAAAGGTGAAGAGACATTAGAGAAAATTGGGCGCTTTTGAGCGAAGTCTGGCCAGGGCCCGAGTTTCAGTTGCAACTGCGTACTGTTACAGGCTGGTCATGAATATGGGATGTTAGGCTTGTATGGAGTCATTAAGTACGCTGTGAATGAATCGCGTGTTTAGAAATTGCTATTCATGGACATAATCTTCAAAGATCTAGGTCGACATGTGTGAACTTATCTTGGACATGTTTTGAATCTAGGAGATTTCGTTTAGGTACTGTTTGTTTTAGAGTTCCAGTCCTATTTCTGAAGGGTTCGACATGATCTGCTATAGCGCTTATTCGCAGCTCTAAAGTCAATAACAGTATTCGATGAAATGAAACCTGAGGACATTTTGATGTGGTCATCGTTAAGGAAGTAAGTATTGATAGTTTTGAAGTTGCATCCTATTGCCAATCTTTAATCAACCTGAATCGCTTCATTTATCTGTTTATTGTGTACTCTTGACATATAAACGAAGCAATTCAGGTTGATCTCCATAAAGATTAGCAATAGGCTGAAGATCACATGATGATTAGTCAGTATCTCATTTCCTAAGCGGTAGGCGTTTGCTTTCGCTGTTTTCTCTAGCAGTACACTCAGGGCGAGCGGGGTGCTTTCAGTAGCATCATCATTGCTTTTCTTCACTGTTGTGGTGTCTGACTCATATTACATCGTGTACCTCATTTCTCAAAAGAGACCTATTCTGTGCGAGTTTCCTCATTGTTTTGCACTGCAATGCAGATATCAGCACTCAAAGGTTTTGTGACAAAAGGTTTTGGCTGTGTTTTTCCAAGCAATCTAACTCATTACGCTTACTTCGCTTATGTTTTCGCTTAGGGTTCGGCCATAGGTTGCCGGCAACTGTTGTCTTTGTTGTCCGTTTTGTAGCTGCTAAGTTTTGTTTTGCAATTTGCAGGAGATTGTTTGCAGTTAATTTGAAATAAATGTCCTGTCTCTTCATTCTTTCTTCTGTCTTCTATCCACAAATGCTAGGGGTGAGATGGAGGGGGTAAAGAACGGGGTTGAGGGTCGCGCTGAAGTCCTACCCGGGGGGGGGGGCGTATTCGGCTAATTTGGGTGGGGTTTAGAGACAAAATTGGGGTTTGGAGCTTAATTAGGGCTAGTTACAGTATGCCGCGGCAGCTTTCCGCAGCACAAAATGGGGGGACTCCGGAGCACAAATGGGAGGGCTCCGGAGCACAAAATGGCAGAGCTCCGGAGCACAAATGGGAGGGCTCCGGAGCACAAATGGGAGGGCTTTGGAGCACAAAATGGCAGGGCTCCGGAGCACAAATGGGAGGGCTCCGGAGCACGAGTGGCAATCCCCAGCTGGGGAAACCCCGCGGCTCGGCCATTTCTGCTCCGGAGGTATGCCATCGATTGTCCGAGCAGTCCTGATAGCGTGCCATGAAACAAAATTGAAACATGCAGGGGTAAAATTTAAAGTCAGACCCACTGATTAAGCGAGGTTTCAGAGCAACAAGTCCAGTGCCACTTAAAGTTCTGCATCATTTATTAGACTTAGCCTTAGCTTATTCAAAAACTAGCTGGCTTGCCCGGCTCCGCCGGGCCTGCCAGCTAGACCCGTGTACGTATGTTCCAAATAGAAAATTCCATTTCTGAACCGATCCGGACCAAACTTTGCACACATACACTTCGGGCCCCGGCGGGTGTCACAGTCCACTTTTCGTTATCGATCGATGTCGATTATACCGATTTTTATCGATCTTTTTTGCAGAGTTCACCTACAGGGCTAGGAGTTGGCACAGGGGGGAAGTGAGCATGGGGATTCCGAACACAATATTAGTTTTCAGAATTATCGATTACTTTTATTGATTTTATCGATTTTTTTGTAAATTTTGACCTGCGGGGCTGGGAGTTTGCACAGGGGGGTAATCGAGCATGCTGATTACGAACACAATATTAGTTTTCAGGATCGTCCATTACTTTTATCGATTTTATCGATTTTTTTTGTAAAGTTTGACCTGCGGGGCTGGGAGTTTGCACAGGGGAGTAATCGAGCATGCAGATTACGAATACAATATTAGTTTTCAAGATCGTCCATTACTTTTATCGATTTTATCGATTTTTTGAAAATTTGAGCTAGGGGGCTGGAATTTGGCACAGGGGTGTAATCGAGCATGCTGATCACCCCCCTTGGGGATGATCAGCATGCTCGATTACCCCCCTGCGCCAACTCCCAGCCCCCTAGCTCAAACTTTGCAAAAAAATCGATAAAATCGATAAAAGTAACCGATAATCCCGAAAACCAATATTGTATTCGGAATCCCCATGCTCGACTACCCCCCTGTGCGAACTCTCAGCCCCGTAGCTCAAACTTTGCAAAAAAATCGATAAAATCGATAAAAGTAATCGATAATCCTGAAAACCAATATTGTATTCGGAATCCCCATGCTCGATTACCCCCCTGTGCCAACTCCCACCCCCGTAGCTCAAACTTTGCAAAAAAATCGATAAAATCGATAAAAGTAATCGATAATCCTGAAAACCAATATTGTATTCGGAATCCCCATGCTCGATTACCCCCCTGTGCCAACTCCCAGCCCCGTAGGTGAACTCAGCAAAAAAATCGATAAAAATCGATAAAATCGATATCGATCGATGACGAAAAGTAGCCTATGACACTCGCCGGGGCCCAAAGTGTATGTGTGCCAAGTTTGGTCCCGATCGGTTCAGAAATGGAATTTTCTATTCGGAACATACGTACATACAGACATACAGACAGACAGACATACAGACATACAAACAGACATTCAGCTTTATATATAAGATAATCAACGATTCAAACATTTTTTTCAGAGTAAGACATTTCTTGATCTGCATGGCGCAGATTGAATCTTTATTGGTTACTGCATTTGCTGAATCAGTACCTGCTGCTCTCTGTGGAGTTCTATTGGCATCTTTCTCGTGTGGTTTTGGTGAGACAACATATTTAGGGCTTATTCCAAGTTAATTAGTCGATGAGCTGCAAAGTCATCGAGAATTTGAAGAAATACTTTCAGGAACACGATCTCAACCTGGTCCTCCGGATCTGGGATGGCTGGCGTGGCTGCCACATTCGCCTATGCAGCACTGACTGACGTGAATCTACTGGCACTGACTCCTTCGAAAGCTATGCTGATCATGCTCATCGTTCCAAATTTGTTTACAATTTCATAAGTTGGTCACGGATTGTGTTTTTTGCCCAAAACTAATATATCCTAATTTCAGATATTACATGTTGCTGGTGCGGGCACCAACCATTCCAGAAATTAGTGCTTTCAAGCCCTCAACATGGCTGGTCTCAGAACCTTACAAGTACGCTTTCATCTCGTTTTTATATTTTCTAGAATCTCTCTCAATTATTTTTTAGACGAGATATCCAAGATTCAAGAGCATCCTCAGATCTTGAATACAAAATGGACAAATAGCAAAACAAACTAAAATTGATGCACAAAACAGACCTTTCAACGAACAGCTTGTGATCATAAATGTGAGTGTTACTGCGCTTGCTACAAGCGTCCGTATTGTGCTGCTCAAATTTCCAGAATCTCATGAAATACATAGTTCCTTTTGGGACTGTTTACTTCATGCAATAATTCATCAAGCAAGGTTTGGTACGTTCTCAGCACTACTTGTCCTGTTATTCTTTCAATATCCAGCCATTTATTTATCCCGTCTTGTTGATGGTCAACCATGTTAAAGCGGTTAACACATGATCAACGAACTCAGCGGTCCTAGGACACTTACAAATTATAGCAATGAAGTTTTTTAGGCTGAACTCGTGGTGTTCGACTGCTCCCACGGTTTTGGGACCAGCTTAGCCTCGCAATAGCGATGGTATCAGGTGAGAGTGCATTCGACTTCTCAGCTTTTTGCTGCATCAAAAAAAAACCACATATCATAAAAGTTGAGTATGAATGTATGCAGTGGCAAATGGAGAAGAGAAGAAATTTTGTAAAAAATCTTAAAGTTCGAATAAGCTTGTAAAAAAAACTTCTCTCCATGCAAGGCCGCCCCCATGCCTTTTTTCTGAAATTTTCGGGGTTACACGACGCAAGAATTTTGGAAGCATCCCAGAATTTTTCCTGAATAAGTGACATATGTAGTAGGTAGGCGCTGACACCTTGTGAGTGGGAAAACTTGGAGGGAGAAAAGCCAAGATGAATGTTGGTTCGGCAAGAAAGTCCTCAGACATGCATTTGGATAAAATCTTTGTATCGCTATGGGACCAAGTGGGGCATGCTGCACATGTAGGATAGAGCGAAAATTTAAGTCTCTACAAGACTTCAATCAGCAGGAACGTTGCCAGTCTTTCTTATAAAAATGCAAACGAATTCGGAAACCAAGTATTCGAAATCAACCCAAATCTTCGACTTTCACAAGCGTCATGACACTCTCACATTCTCAAAACTGTGGAAACCACATACTTACGCATATGTACAGGCTGCATGGAATTTGAGCTTGAATAATGTAAAAAACAAGGTTGTTGAAAGTTGGCAAACTCCGTCCCATTGGTTCTGAAATCCTCTCATTTGCTCAGATATTACGCGCGCGAACAACTGCATTTTTTTCACTACTTTACATCTCCTTTACGGGAAAAAAGTGGATTTCCTCTAAAAATGTCCAACACTGATACAGAATTTGCAGAAAGTTCCCATGCGCATTTTCACAAGTATGTCCTCACGTCAAAAAATAGTTTTTCTATTAAAAATCAACCGAAAATCAAGGGAAGCTGCCAAGTCAGAGGTGTATACGTTTATTCTTCATAGTGATGCTTCAGGTGTGCTATCATATTGGAGTGTTTATATCACGCTCATCTACTAACGTGGTAACACTGAATCTGCTTTGCCTCTCGCTTACTGCCATTATTCAGGTATTTTCCTTTTTTAAAAAGTTTATTGAATTTAGCCAATTTCTTGGTTCTAGACTTCTTTTGCCACCATATTCTTCTTCACTGCCATATATGCTTTTATTCCACACTTTGGTATCGTCGCCTTCATGATGTTCACAGTAGGTATCATCGGAGGAGCTAACTATGCAAACACATTCTACCACATCCACAGAAAGGTGAGCGAAATAAAATCATTTGATTTAGACTATCATCTCGTTTTGCAGGTGGATCCCACAATTCGCGAATTTGCCCTATACGGTTACTTTTGCCGACACCATCGGAATCCTTGCAGCGGCCCTCGCAGCTATACCACTACATAAGGATTTGCGAGATGCAGTGGTTCGGCTAAAGAACTGCAGCTTATTTGGGAAATTACACGGTCTGTACCGTTATACTCTGCTAAACTCCAGCAGAGTATGGACTGTTCTATGATAGACGACTGTTGGCTGAGTCTCAAGTACTGTAATCGACTCATACCAACACGAAAATGTTTCGTAACTGATTTCTATGTTCATACTGTTTCTTTGTTGTTCTTCCTTATTGACGCGAGCATTAAGTATCTCGCTTTTTTTGAGAATTTTCTCCTCGCTTCTCCTATTCCTTTTCTTCCGAGTCTTGCGCAAGCAAGTCAAATAAAACCATTCCAATGCTTTGAACCTCTACAATCTCTGGGACTCTTTTGCAGAGACTATTGAAGACTGTATACTTCATGCCATAATGCATGAGGAGTTTTCTAACAGGTCCTCCTCTACTCACATTCAAGCACTAGAAAGATGTAAAGGAAGAGCTACTTGGCATTTTGAAACAATAATGATGCAATCTTCTTTTTGAGTCTTAGACGCATGTCAAATCGCTTGCGGACGAGATGTAATATCGCCTATGTGGTGCCCGATCAAGAGTCAATAAATTGTGTTAAACAAACAATTTTGTTGAACACATTTTTCAACCTCTACAGCTTAGCCTTTGACACCCACTAATGAATTAAACTTGTAGCTATCAAATCTTTACCCATTACCTATACGTAAGACCCGATAGGCGTAAACATGAGTGATTTTGTACTTTCGTAACCTAATTGTCAAAGGTAGAGGACCAAACATATTTAGATAGTTATTGAGATTCCAAAAATTTTACTGACTCTTTTTCTACAAACTCTTGCATTAAGTATGGGTCCTACACAGTTTCTACTTCATGTTTATGGTAAAACCTTTTGAATGTTTTTCACTTTCACAAACAGCTGGTTGGCAAACACAAAAGAAAGTCTTTGTTTAATCAGAGATATTTTATTCAAGAAACTACGACGAAATTTAAAAGCGTTAACATCTTCACATCGAGGTTAGACCATTGAAAATTACCCACATAGGACTAGCAAGCTGAGAAGTAATCTTCCCCAATCTTGAAGCTAAATCAGTTTTGGAAGGTTAGCGCAATGGGGATTGTGGCAATGTATATGAATATACTAAGAGAGCCCGCATGACGTGCGCAAACCGCTTTGTCTTGCAGATCTTACGAAATTTATAACAATCCGACGATTAATGTATATCTACCATATACCGTCAAATACATGCCTGCTTCTGCTTATTTATTGAATCCAACTATGAAAACATTTGGGTGTCTAACAACAGTGCTATTGAATGGCTCTGGAAAGGGAGGCGTCTGTATTGTTTTCTCAACGATGCAGTGGCATGATATGTACGGTCGTGTCGCTAGTCTGCTTCTGCAATTGGGTGCGATTACGGTGGGCATTTTTGCTGCAAGTAGATGTTGATAACCAGTGGAACTTTGCAAGAAGTCACTTCGCCACACTACGTTCATTCAGAAATTAGAATTATATTAAAACAAGACAATTTCTATTATCCAAAGCAAGGATATTTTTCTAGAAATTTTTCGCGTCCAGAGGTTAGAGAAACTAACAATGATTGTGCGAAAAAAAATCACAAAAAGTCTCAGTTATTTTCTTCCGTCAAAAATCATTGATTGCTGTTTTTGTTCTCGATTTGGGCATACGGAGCACTTAGACGTCCACATAAAAAACTACACTATCTAGAACACAAAGTTGTTCCAAACAAGATTAGCTGGTCCTAGTTCCCCTCGATTCTTGCTAAGAACCATGATGGAACATCCCAATTATTTTCAACATTTCACAGTCCCTATCCTTCAGTGGCGTACCGAGGGAGAGGGAGGAAGGGCGCTTTTATTCCACCCGTGTTCGGGTGTCGTGAAATTTTTGAAAGTTACTTACATGATTTATAAAATTGTGCGAATGACTTGTTCAAACTTGTAAATAATTAAAAGATTTTTAAAATTTTTTAAAAATTCATTTCAGCCTTATAAAAAAACGAGCCGGCATTCCGAGTCCCACCCCGGTTTCGAGCCAGTCCATCGTGCTTGACCTCTCATGCAGCGAAACTTATCGTCCTTTTGATTGCGACTCGTCTTGGGTTCGCTTCCTACCGTCTTTTTGATGTTTTGATAGCCAGCAGATCAAAATGAGCTTCGCCGCTCATCCTTCATGACTATGGGGAATGTGCACACACACAAGTTTTCTGCTTCATATATATAGAGATTCTTGGGGGGCGTGACTGACGCGACGCCTCCTTTTTCTGAAATTTCGGGATTACGTGTCCGCGAAAATTTTGGAGAGCATACCGAAAAATTTTCTGTAGTGCGTGGCTAACACCATGCACCTTCATTAAAAATTTTCTTTGTCTCCCCCCCCCCCTGAGCCGAAATCGTGGGCACGCCACTTTCATTCCTATATGCCAACTCCGTGGCAACTGTAACTTCATAACCAGCGTAAAATATAATTATCATCAGCTTCTTATCTTGACGTTAGAGATGATAAAAAATTAATAGATAAGAGTATCAAACTAAATCTTACCTCCGTAATTAGCATGCTCACTTATCTCCGCCACTCACTCTCAGCGATCCAGTTTGATAAAATCGATAAAATCGATAATTTGTAAAAGACTGTTACTACATAGTTATTACACCTTTCTTTCTTCTCCTATTTACAACTTCCGGCTCCATTACTGAAAACTCAAATTGATAAAAAATAGTTTTAAAATTTGCCTCTCCTCGAAGTGCATGCGTGCAAGCTTTTGATCGACCGGAACTTCCACACAAGAAACTAGCCTTCGGCAATATTTTGTGGAAAGCGCTACAGAAAATTTTATTCAAGGTGGAGTCAAATTCTTGCGGCATTTACGACGCTCAAGTTTCTTCGATGGTAAGCTAGGGTTTTTATTTTTCGTATTTATTTTATATTTTATTTACACGCACACGTCGTAAAGCGCGAATCGGAAAACCCGTATTAGATGGGTAGACAATGGCCTGATAGGTCCCCTAATGAATTCCCTGAGAATTAAGTCTTTGATGAGACACTGCCTTTCAGTACGAAATTCTTGTAAAAAGTAGGAAAAAAACTTGAGCTTCAACCCGATACCATTCTCTCTCGTTTGCTCGCTCCAAAAACCTATGCGTAAAACTACCTGACACTTTGCAGCTTTCAAAACTCTTGCTAACTTCTTTGTTGAAAATGAAATAGGTCCAAGGATGTATACGTGATAAAATGACGTTTGTAGACAACCAAACGGCACAAAATATGACTCCTGAAAGGAGTTAGTTTTCTAAGTGCTGAAAAAGTAATAGTAGAGACTACCGATGCACATCTTGGTACACAGCGGGCTAAGTGGAATGCAGATAATACCACAAGAGCTGTCACTGAGCCACTAATTTGAGCAGTAAGCCGAGTGAGTTGCCTCCTTTTCCTAAGCCTCACAATTTCGAAACTATCAGGCTGGTTCAAGAATTCTGTCGCACTCATTTTCAAATCGAAACTTCTTCCATTCCTGATAGCCTTGCATGGAATTAATATTATTATTAGGGTGTCTCATAATTTTTTACGTTTTTAGCCTCGTGGGGCACCTACAAAGGAGTCAAATCATAACCGTACTTCTGTATGTATGAGCTATATGGTCACATGGTGGGAGAAGCTCAGGACGTCTAGAGGCGGAGTTTGCCATTTTGATCCATTTATTTCTTTCTTTATTTCTAGCTAAGGAAAACACAGAAAGGTTTACAATTGCATGTCGATGTGTCAAGCATATGCTGGGTTAAATAGGGAATTCTTAAGATATCTTGGGGCGGAGACACGATTTTTAAAAGTTCGAAATTATCAGTTCAAATTATCAATTAATTTCGACTGCCATCAAATTTCAGCTCAATTTCACGTGGATTACGATTTGGTCAGACTCTAGACAGCCATCATGTTCAAGCCACATCAATTGATGGAAAGATACAAAAAGACGACTGTTGTAGTAAAAACGGTAAAAAATTATGAAAAACTCCTATAGAAAGAGTAAATCATGTACTTTCTTTGTACTTTCTTGACACATTACACTGTGACAAAGCTTGACTGCAAGAAAATTAGAAATGAAAATTACTTGCGGTTCAGTGACTTCAAGCAAGCGCTTTAAGAATTTAAAAACGTCAAGTAAAATTCGCATTTGGTGTCATAAGTTTTCTGGCTTTTTTGGCTAGCGAAGGAAGCCTTTTAATTCGAATTAGCCTTTCCACACGACACCTTTACCAATTTTGTAGAGATGAACGATGATTTCAGATCTGTCTCAATCGTTACAGTTTTTGCTTTGAAAAATTGAATGCGCAAATGCAACGAGATCAAAATCGTCCAGATTTGCTCAAATGATCAGATGTAAACTATCGGAGCACCATTCAATGATTACCTTCTGTCTGAAACCCTCATACTCTTTCTAATACTATGATGCTAAACTATACTATCAGGATTGGAAGAAGTTACAGTCGTTTTAAATTGTGCGACTGAACTTTCGGAACAACCTAGTTTATGTAAATATCTACTGCAAAACTTCATTTAGCTGATTTACAAGCAACCTGCTACACATATAAAAGGTTAAAAGACGCACGTTTTTGAAAACATACTGTTGTAGCGTCCCTTATATTGGAACTTGCTCGCTCACTATAGGCTAGGTCCATATGGTCTCTGTGGTTGCGGCGTATCCGCCGCACCTTGATATATTTGTGTGTGTTGTTCTTTAGTTATTCCCAGTGAACCCTCGGCATGTACGCCGATAGGCAGAGGGGGAACTCTTGTGTTTTTCTAATAAATCGTCAACGGCTCAACGCGTTCCACAACAACTGGCGATCAGGATCAAGGACAAGAAGAACTCCACCACCACCAACCAAGGACGAGAAGAAGCTCCATCGCCGACCAAGGAGAAGAAGCCTGCAATCAACTTCAAGGACTTCTCCAGATATAAGTTACATTTGAGGAATCGATCGACGA